AAACGATGGGTCTATTTTCACCAAGTAAGCTCCCCCACCCCCCTGCTTCAGAGCCATTAAAATGTGTGAGAAAGTGCAAATCCTAAATTAGCTCAATATTCACATGTTCCTTAATTATTGATGAAACTCATCTCCCAAGGGCAGTTTTTGCAGAGACAGCTGGGGGTTCCCAGCAGAAGAGCTGGCTCTCAGCGGTGCAGCTCCCAGCTGCTTTGCCACTGGGACAGAAGAACCCACCCTGCCCACCACCCATCCTCCCCAGGTCCACCAGGCTTTCCCCAGGGACCGCTTCTGGGACCGTTTATTTGCTTGAAGAATCCAGAGCTTTCTCCTTACACACCTCACAGTGAAAAATTTAGACAAAAAAAAAAAAAAAAGAAGCTAAAATTTTCTTTTTCAGCACACACACTCATGGTGCTGAGTGTTTCTGCTCTTACTATTTTTAAAATGCAGCTTTAACAGTTACAAAATAAATCTATTTTAGTCCCTTTAGGTTAAAAGGGGCTAGAAGAATTTCCCTCTTACAATTTAATTTTTAAAAATGGGTTAAGATAAGGGGAAAAAAAAAACTTTGAGTGACTTAGAAGCAGAATTTAAGTTCTGACTTGCTGAGAAATTGAGCTTCAATGTGGCATTGGAACAACCTTCTCACTTTTGCCACCACAAAAGTTTGTATTTTTACCACATTCACCAGTCCCACATCACTACAAGTTTGCTTATACAGAGACAACAGCTTTGGTTATTGTCCAAATACTTTGTGAGCTCTGATCCTTCCTGGGGGGGTTCCTCAGCTACTAGCGTTGCACCGTTGAGATTTATAACCCTTTGTGCGTAGCAAACTTTGTACTGCCCAGGAACGAGGAGGAATGAAGCAAAGGACTGCTTCTGCCGCTACCGATCCTCACGCTGTTTGAGGACATGCTAGCCTAAGATCTTTTTTTAATATAGGCGTGATGCTATGCAGTGTTTCCAATAGACTTTGTGTGGTTTTCCTCTCTTCTTGGAGCTTCCTTCCTCCTCTTAGTGCTGGCAGGTTTGGAGGTTTCATGACGTAAATGGTGCCTTTTGAAGGTGGATGCTTCAAGAACTTCAATCTTGTGTGTTTAAACAGGAGAAAATTGGTTAATTACATCGGTGCATTCAGCTAATTTTCTTTGCCGAGAGCTGATTATCTGAATGAAGTCAGCTCCAGAACTACCTTTTGCTTAAAGGAAATCTGCATTAATTGAAC